TCCACACCGACACCTCCGGCATTTATTCTTCTGGGAGCTAGAACACACAGGTTCAAGTTCTCACAAGTGAAGAAGGGAACCAAGCCCAATTCTCACATGTGCTAGGGAAGTGCTCTCCCCCCACATGGCATGAAACAACAGGCACAATCCACTCCTGCTTACACACTGCTCTCTGAACAGAACAGTTTGCCTTTTCTTTTTGATGGGTCCAGCCTAAGAGTGCGCATCAGGCATGCTGCAGGCATGTAATGGGCCCTGAGGGAAAAACACAGCAGAGCACATCGTCTGAGAAGAGGTGTTTGGCTGGAGATAAGCTTGAAGTCATTCATCTCTGACCTGACCAGGGATTCTATCAGAGCTGGAGGAGCAGAGCGGGAGGCATTTCCTCTGATGGAAGCGTGGGTGCTGTGGAACATATAGCAAGCTTTTGGCTGAGGGAGCATACACTCAGTGGGGGAATGGGGAAGAGACTGTCCTCCATCTCACCTCACAGAACGCTTTGATGATGGAGAAAACAGCACTAAAATACTCATCACATCAAAAACATTATCTAAACCCCTCTGTATTTCGTGTTTGTAAATGCTTTATTGAAAATCAACAGCAAAGTGGTCTTTTTTCCACCATAAATACTGGCAGCAGTGGGAACTGCATGTGGGGAGCGTGTGTGGCTGCTGAGGGCCAAAACAAGGAATCATTTAATGAACCTTTGTGGTGTTTCTCAGCTCACCAGATGGCAGAGCATCACAGGCTGCATCAAAGTAGTTCAAAGGATCGATCCTTTCAACCAATCTAAGCTGTGTTCAACTGCCCAAAGTCTTACACTGGATGTGAAAATCCTCTGGTGGATTTGGTCCCAGGCAGTTTATGTTGTGAGGAGTGGAAGTCAGACCTCAAAAGTCATGAGCCAATGCCAAAGGCGGTGTCAAACACCATAAACTGTGCAGGTATGTGTAGCTGGATGTGAAGTTTCTCTCAGAACAAAGAGCATTTCCTGCTCTAAAATGGAAAGCAAAGAGACATTTGAAATTCATCTCTCTCTTCTGCTCCTGCAAGTGCAATCCTTTTCGCTCTTTACAGTGACAGTCAAAAATCTTGAACAAAATACTATAAAGGTTTAAGACACAGGCATTCAAATGAAGTAATATCCTACAGAGAGGTATTTGGGCAGCACACTGTGTGACAGTGAGAGCTTTGCTGAGGCAGAAATTCAGTAAAAGCCTAATTAAGTCTATGCTGGGATTGGGTGCCTGCAAGAGAACCTCCACAGGGCCAAGAAAATGTTATTTCTACTAAATAGAAGGCAGTTTGCTATAATCTTAAAATAACAGCAGGGAAAGAGGGTCATCTGGGTAAAATCAGTTCAGCTCGTTTTAGAGGGCACAGAGAACGAAAAGAGACGTACGTGAAGAAACAATCAGTGTCTGATTAGACAGTGAAAGGAAAGAAAATTGGTACAACTTGGTGTAATTTGCAAATTCCTGTGTGTACGTTCCCCAGCTGGTTTGCTGCCTTCAGTTGTAGCATGAGTCAGGCTGCTCGAGTTTTATGGTAAAACAACCACGATGCACTGTGCAATCATCAGCAAAGCAAGTCTATTGCAATTGATAAATTGCTATTAAATGAATAAAGTGAGCCCTCCAGCAACAGGAATATACAATTAAAGGCTGCATACCAGAGAGGACATGTCACCGGCTGTCTTAAATCTCTGCTGGCACTTGAAAGAAGAGCAAAGCACTATTTAAATCCCTACAGAAATTAATCAGTACGTTTTCACCTCTCTTAGGGGAAACACAGCTGTCCTTGATTCTCTCTTTCCCCCCACAGGATTAAAAACAGCGAATCCATGAGCAGAAAACCACTGGAGTGTGGGGAAATTAAGAGGAAATTACAAAAGGCACCTTTTGCAACGAATGTATGCTTTCACATTTCTTGATGAACAGAAGACACACTCTTCTGAATAACAGTGTGGCTTCTCCTGTAAAATCCCTCCATCAAACCAAGGTCCTTACATAGCTGCTACATTCCACCATTGCTATCAATTCACATTTTCACACTGTGTTCGGATAATTTAACTGATCCCAACACAGCGTGGCTTAGAAGAAATGCCATTTGACAGAAAGTGGAGAGAAAGAGAAAACAAAAATGAATGAGAGGAGAAAAATGATCTCTTTTGTTGCTAAAGTCCCACCCAGGTTATCTGAACTCTTTGGGATTTTTGAGTTTCGTGAGCAGAGTTGGTTGATTCTTTTTTTCTACGGCATAGAAATCTTTTTTGTGTCTCATACAAAATTTCAAGATCTGTATCTTATTCCCATCTCTCCACGACAACAAAGGATACCTGCATCATATCATCACGTCACAGAATCATATCATAGAATAGCTTACATTGGAGGGGACCTTAAAGACCACCAAATTCCAGGCCATTCTGTGGGCAGGATTGCCACCCACCAAACAGGCTGCCCAGAGCCCCACCCCGTTTATGCCAGTGCCTCTAAGTAAAGAATTTCCACCTCACATCTAACATAAATCTCTCTTCTTTTAGTTTAAAGCCATTTCCATTTGTCCTGTCATTATTAGACCATGTAAAAAAAAGCCGGTCTGCCTCCTGCTTGTAAGCTTCCTTCAAGTACTGGAAGGTTGCAGTGTTGTCTCTCCAGAGCCTTCTCTTCTCCAAGGCCATTTTGCTCGACCTTTCTTCATAGGAGAGGTGCTCCAGCCCTCTGATCATCTTTGTGGCCCTCTTCTGGACCCACGCCAACAGCTCCACATTCTTCTTACACTGGGGACCCTGGACCTGGATGCAGTACTCGAGCTGAGACCTCATAAGGGCAGTGCAGATGGGGACAATCCCTTCCCTGGCGCTGCTGGCCACCCCTCTTTTGATGCAGCCCAGGACACAGCTGGCCTTCCAGGCTGTAAGCACACACTGCTGACTCACGTCCAGCTCTTTGCTCCTCAGGACCCCCAAGTCCTTCTCAGCAGGGCTGCTCTCAAGGAGTTCTTCTTCCAGTCTGTTTTCATATCTGGGATTGCCTTGGCCCAAGTCCAGCATCTTGTACTTGGCTTTGTTAAAATTCTCATGTGTCCACTTTTCAAGCCTGTCCAGGTTTCTTTGGATCGCATTCCTTTCTGTTGTGCCAACTGCACCACTCAGCTTGGTGTCGTCACAAACTTGCTGAGGGTGCACTTCATCCCATCCTCTACACCACTGATAAAGATGCTGAAGAGCACTGGTCCCAGGATGGACTCCTGGAGGACACCACTCATGACTGGCCTCCACCTAGACACTCAGCCATCGACAATAACCACCTGGCTATGACCATCCAAACAATTCTTTACCCACCAAATAGTCTACCCTTCCAATCCATCTCTCCAATTTAGAGATAAGGATGTGGTGCAAGACCGTGTCAAAGGTCTTGTGCTAGTCCAAGTACATGACATCAGTTGCTGTGAACAGCATCCCTGTTTTGCCCAGCCCAGACCCAAGGCTTGAACCTGGGCTCCTCACCTCTAAGAGTATTTTGTGCCTTAGCACTGCAGCAGCCTAACTGCTGATGAGGGTTGTCAGGTGCCATGATCACACAAATACTTGAATGTTCTAAATGGAACTCGGTATGTCAGGATGATGGTTGGACTTGATGGTCTTGAAGGTCTTTTCCAACCTAGATGATTTGATTCTAAATAAGCAGCCATGGAGGAAAACATTTTAGTCTCCCAGCAAAAATATCAGCTGAGATGGATCTCCTGTCAGTCATGGCCAGCAACAGCTGTTATTCTTCACATTAAAAAAAAACAAACAAACTGCTACAGAAAGGAGGAAAAAGATTTCACTAATGCACAAACTTTGCATTTGGGGCCCTGAACAAGACTCCTTATATATAGCAAACTTCCAAATACAATATTCAACAGCTCTGTACTGTTTGAGTAACTTCATTTGGAAGAATTGGGCTAATTTCAGCCATTCAGAGACTTGTTTTCCTTTATATGTGGCCACCTGCGCAACTTAACTTTTTTGTATGGGCCGTGTCCTCACCTGGATCTTAGTGAATGACTCGTTTCTCTTTGAAGCACTTATTTTGCATCTTATCTTTTGAAAACACACATTTCATGGAAGCTGTGTAATACTTCTGTTTGTTTTCAGAAAGCAGCCCAAGCTAAAAATAACAAATTGCTGAAGATTAAAAAAAAAAAGAAGATCATAGGAATGTCAGCTAAGGAAAAACAGGAATTATGGATTGTCAGACTGAACTGTGGAAAATATCAAACAGGAGCCATTTTAAACGTACTCTTCTGCCATTAGGCTGGTAAGAGGCTGGCTGAAAGAATCTCTGCCCAACCACTTTGTCGATATGTCATTCCAGTGCTCAGATGCATTTTCTTTTGCAGTTTGAATGAAATACATCAGAAACGCATGTAGGTTCATTCACCTACTGCTGATGAGCATTTCTTTCAGCCCTTGGATTGCATCTTTACCGCCTTTTTCAGCTTTTAAGTTCTTCAGAACTAGAGTCACATTTTTAACATTCAAGTGTTCTTCGGATCTGTAGGAAAGATGTGGAATTTAAGACCTTTATATTGGCAAGATGAAAGTATAGGTCATTTTACTGGTTTTTATTGTTTGAGAGGCCCTGAAGAAATCCCAAAATTTTATCCACTCAAAGAATTTAAGTATCAAAGATAATCAGTAGCATGACCTCTTGCAACCTGTTTCCTTATCAGGATTAGCCTGATTGTTAGTCATGGTTTATGGGCAGGTGATTAAGAAGAAATCTATTCAATTCTCTGTGACTGCTTAAGTTTCTGGATGGAGAAGAAAGAACAAGAGTGTGGAACTACTGTTACTTTTGCTGCACAGCATGGTTTTTATAGCATCACTTTTGGACTGATCCCAGGATGGCTCACTGCACAAACAAACAATTTAACTTTGTGGACTCAGAAAGCAAAACCAACACAAAGTTCCTGGGATCCAGTGTCAACTGCGTGTCATCCCTTCAGGCACATTTTCATCAGATCAGCTTTATTTCTCTGGCTGATTCATCAAATCCTTTGTGTAGGATTCACATCATTACATAAACATTGGATTCCTTCTTAGCTATTGGAAAACACCAGTCCCAACATGCTTTATGGTAGCAGTTTTCATGGAAACAAGTTCTGCAGTGCACAGTTGGATTTGGATTTGAAGTAGATTAGTTTCTCCCATCACTAGTCTTCACAAACATGCCAAAATCAGTATAATCTTCTTCTGTTGTCTTTCATTTCCCATCGCAGTAGGAAGAATATCTGGAAATACTTTAGGTCTCTGTAGAATGGAAGCTGCTGCCACAGCTGCTGAGTTTGCTCAGCTCTGGAGGTTTTACTAACTTAGAAAGTTTGCTAGGAAGAAACAGGATTTGATTTCTGTGGTTTTGCATGTGTATTGGTAAGAGAAAAAGTGGTGATACCAGCACATTCATGTTTAGTAACTCCTATGGCGAAGCCTTCTATAAAACTTCTAGTTGCAGCACTCATATAATTTTCAGTCATTGAAAGACAGTATCTAAAAATACAGAAATACCTAAATACTGAAACACATGCAACTTTAACGTCCAATACTGGCCAATAATCAGGAGCCTGACTCTTTGCAAGCCACTGCCTTATCTGCAGCATTATCAACAGCTACAAGGACTGGTAACATTTTTTTGGAAACACATTGCTCTGGAGCTGACCTTTTAAACAGCTTACAGTGTACATTCACAGCTATTCCTGATGGGTTCAGAATTATGTAAGAGAGACAGAAGTACAGTAAATCGTGAGAAGCTAGCTGTTTCCTCTTATAGCAAGGCAATCCAGCTTAATTTGTAAAGTCTTCTTCAGTAGGGAATATCTCTGATAATGAAAATGCTAGAGCTACCAGTATTCAGTGCACAAATCAACACATATGCAAATTACTGCCAACTTGGTCATCCATACAGTATGTGATGTTACAGTCAGCATCCTTGATTTAAGAAAGGCTCGAGAGTGCTCCACACTCACTTTCTGATAGCAGTGGGACATTTGGTTGTGCCCTGCAAAGCCTTACTTCACCATCACAATCTCAAACCAGAGGGCTAACTCCTAAAACAGAACATGCACCTCTCTCATAAGTTTGGCAGTGTAAGAAGTCTCTCTTGGCTTGACCAGGGTTTGCTCTCTTTGCTTCATTAACGAAAGAAATAAAATGAAAAAACTTCTAGCATTAATTTCTTTTGGACAGAAGAAGGTGAATATGAATCACAGAATGGCTTGGGCTGGAAGGGTCCTCAAAGAACCATTCCCTCTAAGAACCATTTCCTCAAAGAACCATTCCAATCACCATCTATCCTTGCAAAAAAAGAAAAAGAAAAAAAAAAAAAAAAGAGACTTCCCTCACATTTATAAACTCCCTTTAAATACTGGAAGGCTGCCATGAGGTCCTTGCAGCCTTCTCTTTTCCAGGCTGAGCAAGCCCAGGTCCTTCGTTCTGCCTTCATAGCAGAGGTGCTGCAGCCCTCTGATCATGTTTGTGGCCCTCCTCTGGACCCTCTCCAACATCTTTCCCGAGCTGGGAGCCCCAGACCTGGACGCTGTACTCCAGATGGGGCCTCACAAATGCAGAGTAGAGGGGAACACTTACTTTCCTGTCCCTGCTGGCCACCCTTCTTCTCATGGAATTCAGAATACCATAGGCTTTCCAGGCTGCAAGCACACACTGCTGCCTCACGTTCAGTTTTTCATCAACCAGAACCCCTGAGTCCTTCTCAGCAGGGCTACTCTCAAGCAAGTTCTTTAAGACTTGGCTAAACATAGATGAAGTGAAAATTACTCCACTTTGAGCTTCAAGAACACGCAAGTGAGATGCAGAATTCAACTCTGATGCACCTACTGCCCTCCCTTAAGGTGTAATTGCCACGAGTTCAGAAATAAGCTTGCATATTTACTTAGAAACATGTGAACAACACTACAGGTGATCACATACTGAACTATTTTTCAAACCTCAACTTGCACACCACTGACATCTTCTAGGAGTTACCTACCAACCTTAGATATGAATCTAGGCTGACTCTCTCTGTTTTTGGTAGTCTATTGAAATTGTCCACCAGTGCCTAGGGAACTGCTGATTACAGTTTGAAAAATGCTGCTATGGATCACTACTCCCCAGTACTACGGCTTGTAGGGAAAGGTTCTAGTAGAGGGAAACTACAGCTATGACACTTCACTACTGCAGTGAGCACCATTCTCTGGCCTTCTTACTGCTGCATATTACGGTGCAGATGGCCATCTCAGATCCTCAGGATGGAAATGTACTGGAAATTTCATCCCGCTCCTCCTCTCAGCAGGGTTCATCAACTCTGTGCTGAATGGTGATAGCTGTATTTATTTCCAGTCTCAGCTGAAAGGATTACATATGCATTGTACTGCAATTGCACAGTGCTTCAGACAGAACAGGAGGGTGACAGTCACAGGAAAACTATCTTAGACATACAGCTCAGATCATCTGGATTTAGTTTACTTGTCTTCTGAGAACATCTGTTTCTCTATTAACTGCACTTGGAATGCAAGCTCCCCAAAATCCAGGTGGTCTGAAACATGCATAATTGCAGATCTAGAACAGCCACTGTGAGTATCACCCACTGTCAGTGAAGCCAATGATTTTATGTGGTTTTCTTCTTTAAACAGAAAGCATGCAGGAAAACCTGAAAAGAAGCACAGAAATGCTCTCATATGACACGCTCCAGAACTAAATAGTATCATTACACTAATGAATATTATTCACCAGTACAGGCTTTTAAACTGCGGAGAACGAACTGATATGGCATACCAACACTCAAAGACACAAAACTACACCACCCTACATCTGTCAGTGCTGTGATGCAGAAAAACAGCGCAGCCAAACACACAGAAGATAACAGCAAATACTCATTTCTCATGCACGAGAACAATAACAGATCCCTTTTGCTACATTTAATGAAATCTGTTTGTTGTGTCTGTAGTGTCACAAACATGCACTGCTTGTATTCCTGCCACTGTCTGGAGCTGACAAGTTGCAGCAGATTTTTAGTAATCAGATAAATGACATGCAGGTTCATGTTTAAGGCCAAACATTCAGGATATGCAGCTGTAACTGCAGGGAACAAATGCCCTATTAGCAGAGCTTCAGAAAGGTTCATCCTAAAGCTAAAGAGAAATGAAAGACATTTTGAAAATTAAAGACATATCTGAAATTAAACAGGAAATAGATTGCGACGAAATAGTTCTCCACTTTCACCTGGAAATACACGTTTTTATTCCACAGTGTTTAATCAGCTTTATGACCACTTCCATGGAAATGAAACACATCAATCAGGTAAGCAGTTCACACTGTCAAAGTCAGTACTTACCAGGAGATCCATTACTGACTGCTAAACCTGGCAATTTTGCTACAGCCATACTTTTTTTTTTAGGTCTCATAACACATTCTGAACAATACAGCTTTCCCTTCCTCTTCTTCAGAAACAACTGCTGTTCTCATGCTGGATTTTAGCAAGCTCACATGCTCAAAGATGGTTTCCTTAAAAAAAATTACCACGTCACACATCAACATAGAACTTACAAAACAGCCATAAAATTGTTGTTATCCTTACAGACTATCATCCCTCTAAATCAACATCCTCTCTGAAAATTGTCACTGATGCCAAACATAGCTCTTGGTTAAGCTAGCCCAAATCTGTTGACTTCAAACAGAATGCACCCACCTTTTGGGATTTTTTTTTTTTGTATAAAAGCTTCCTCAGAAGGTTAATGAAATTAAGCTTTCAATCTATTCTAGATTTTCAACATGGAACATTTATCCTTTATCGCTGGGCAGAAATGAATTTTCCAAAGTATTAATGAATTTCTGTCTCATCCACGCTTTGAAGTTTTGATACCATTCTATAAGTTTTTTTCTTCTTTGAATTTTTTCTTGTAAGCTCATTTTTTTTTCTTTCTCTAAAACAGCAGGAAGCTCTTTCCAGTTTTTAATAAAGATAAACGGAGCCCCCATGGTTTTTAATAACTGTAATGGAGCACTGTGGTACATTGATGAATTTCTGCAATCACCAAGTGTCATTACATCTTCTATAACAGGCACAGATCCATATGAACAAGCTTCATAAATTCTGTAACATTCTGTATTTATTCCCACTGGGCACAACGTCAGATCACTCTGCAGCAAGGCATCTTGATAGTTTTTGAAACTTGCATTTGTTTCCTGAGGCTGCCACCTAGGAACGTAAAGAGGTTGAAGATTAACAACTTCCCCACATGCATTACAATGAGAAGCAGAGATATGCTTTAATATCAATTGCTTAGAGAATTGAAAATGTGGATGTAAAAAAAAAGCTTTTAATCTTAACTATACTTAAGCTTTATTGATAATACCACTGTTAAAACCAGATTACAACACTTTTTAGATACAGTCCTTTTAGTAGCATACAGAAGTATGAGGGGCTAATTCAAACTCCCTGTTCAATGTTTTGCACGACTCAGATGATGCATGTGTCTACTTATTCCACATCTGAGTTCAGAAAGAGACTTCCCAATGAATTTTTTTTCACCTGAAATCCTACAAATTAGTGAAGGCTTACTCTTTACATCCCTCTGCTCTAGAATGTACAGCAATCCAGTGACCCTGTTAGTATGCCTGCAGTGTCTCAGAATGTCTGTGGGATAAGAGTTATGCCACAGACAGTGCTCACCTCCTGAGGCTCTTCATCAGGATAGCAGAGGTCTTGCTAAGCACTGCTCTGCCTACTATCAATCATTTCACTATTGTTCAGATTAAACCCACCCCTGTATGGAAGACAATAAAATACTGCTGCCTTTTTCTTCTGGAAAGATTAAGACACACAAGATTGAAGACAAGTATTTCTTCTTCCATTATAATCAAATGTACATAAGAAAAAAAAAAAAATATGATGCCTCTACATGCAGGATACATACATTTCTAACTGAAATATTATTAAACCTTACACAAAGAATTCTAGCAATGTTCTCTTTAATCATGACTTTTACCTTTATTTGTTCTATTTTTTAACATTCAAGAAAGGACTGGTATTAATAAAGCAGGCAAAAATTCAGGGTATTTTCAAGAAGCGAATCAGTGTCTTACTGTTCTCTGGCTGCAATCCAGCAAAGCTTATCAAGCCCATCCTGCTTCAGAATTTCCATCAGGGTTTCTCTAGAAGAATTCTTGTAAACTGTTCCTAAAAAATTACAGAGATACGACCTTGGATCGTGTAGCATTGACCAGCTGGGCTCTACAACTGGAAAATTTCTGTAGCTGTAAAGAGAATGTACACATTACACAATGATATGCTTTATGCTGAAAGAAAATACATTTTGCACCATGTTCAATGTAGCATATTCTAAGATTTAAACCATTTTTCTTTTTCAAACCAATCAACATCTGTAGCTATAAGCAAACCAGTACAAGTTTTCTCCTAAAAGTTGGTCTTTATTCCCTTTGTCCTGACCACTTCCTTCTGGAATGTCTCCACAGACTTCTGTCCTGTTTTGACACCACAGAAAGTATGCATGCACGCTACAATTATCCCTTAGAAACACACATTTCCAAAAGCAGCTGTTCTCTATTTTACTTCGCAATGATTTAATTCTCATTAATACATCGGTTGTCCAAAAATAATGCCTCCTCGTACTCCAATGGAAACTATAACAACGAGCAAAATAGATAGTTTGATAGAACAAATTCTCAGCCAGGAAACAGTATTTTTCAATATAGGCATCATCATTAGCTGTACATTTTCACCAGCGATGAACAAAAGCCTGCCTGCCACCACATAAATATCTGCATGGCCATCCATAAAGTGACTTGTCTTTCACACCAGTGTTGCCACTGCTGAAATGCAGCACCCACTGCCTCAGCATGCTCACATCCACTGGTCGGTCTCCAGAAACATTCAAGAAGCATCAGTGAATGTCAGTGGGTGCTGTTGTTTCCACATGGAGAAATTCAAGGCCATACCTTTGCTCTATATGCACTGCCACGTCAGAGTGCCCCTCTGCTGCCATCTGTCATACAGCAACAACATGGAACAGGATATTGGTGGGAAGGTTCAGCCTCTACTGCTGTACCAACATCCACCTCTGACAGCATGGGCCAACAATAAAACAGGAGACATAACTTTCAGAGCAGCCCTCATAATTTGGAATATCTGCGCTCACCTTCCCAGATTTGGATGAAGCAGCCCTTTCCAAGTTCTTCTCCAACCTGATGAACATTAATTCATCTACTCTCACAAAACCAATTTTTTCCCCATGCCAAATATTTTTACAGCATTCTATTTATCTTTCTTTTCCTTCTTCCCTTGCAAAATCTGGACTGTTTACATGCCTTTAACAACAAGTTTTCTAACTGGCTGCAAAGCTCCATCCTGACACCTGATCTCTCTTTCTACATTCAGCTTCACAGCACACGTTACTACTCTGTTGTTTCTTTCTGTTCTGTCACCTTAATCTTGACATCTCAAAACTCAACTTCTTTTTGCTCATGAACTCCCAATATCATCAATTCTCTGACGCTATCAAGAATCCAATACTTCAGTGGCACCATGAATAAAGCTACATATAATCTGCACACTGACTCCATACAGGATGCTAAATTCAAGTGCAACACAAGCTATGAAAATAACCCTGAATTCTTCTGTTCTTGTATTATCATGATACATAGCTAAAACACTATGAACTTTGTTAATAAGGATTAAGGTAGAAAGCAAATACATTTAACTGAACCAAACACATACCTATTTCACATAAACAGCCTGAGCACTATGCAGAACAAAAAGGTCTTGTGAGTAAGCAGTTAAGCCAGCTTGTTCTAAAGTGGTGCTGGAATATACTAAATTCCAAAGGAGAGGCGTATAATTCATTTTTAAGAGCCAAAATAGGGGTTAAAAAAAAAAAAAGTATCAGCAATAGTACCCCATTCCTGTCCTGAACAGACCGTAGTTGGAACCTCATTACATTAATACCTTTTAAACCCTCGTGTACATATTACATCAGCAGTTATGATAAATTTCAAGAGAAAACCTACTGAAGAAAAATAAACAGAAAACTACACTAAGCACAAACTGATTTTTTTTAGAAGCTAAACCCTGTACTTTTTTTCTGTTATTATTTTAATTGCTAGATGTAATTTTGAAGACTCCAATGCATCACGTAGAAAATCATTAACAGGACCGTGTTCTACTGTACTCATTTCGGATATCAGCAGCAATATTCCAATTCTATTTCCAGCCCTCATATAGAACAATTAGGTTTCAAATGTAAGTCTGTGTCTACAGCACTTACGTGGCTACTCCTAAAGGCCACTGGAAAATATCTTCTTCATTTACCAATGCGTAGTCGTACGTCACAAAGAGCAGATTTACAAATCCTCCGTGCCTTTTCAGGTATGGCTGAATCCATTCGTTGTTGCACTGCTCATTCCCAAGCAGCACAACTGCTACACGCTGTATCTTGCGAGTCTGAAGCAACGTTTGTGCATAATGCAACCACTGAGTGGCGTAAGCGATCTTTGCTTTTTCTCTTCCATTCAGAACTAGCACCACATTCTCAGCTGCAACTGAGAAGTAGCCAGGAACTACAGATGGACCAGTGATGAAGCTGTGAAAACCAAAATACAGAGAGTAAACACCCTTAAGGCAAATTATTGACCTTGATCTTCTAAGCATCCTCACTGCAAGCCAGAGGCATTTTTCTTCAGTAAAGTAAATGCATACACCTATGTGAGTGCAACCACTTGTGCTGTTAATATCTATAGTTATAACAAGGAATATAACCACTTTCAGCTGTATTTTGGAGAAAAATAAAAAAAGATTTAGACTTAAATGGAAATACAGTATTTTGCCAATAAACCAGAAGTGCCATTGTGTTTGAATACAGATTATAGATTATATCAATACCTCATCAGATCGATATGTGGAGTTTGCATTTTGGACTCAATAAACAACTCACTTCCAATGAAGTCTCTGTTTTTCCTTACTAGTCTGAAAACTTCTACAAAAAGACAGTATTTTAGATTTGGTTTTCCAGACCCAGTTGCAAAGGTAACAGCTGCTCTGTAGCAGCAGTATAATTAGGTTAAATATTTTAACAGAGGAAAAGATGCCAAATAGGTCCATGATTGGTGAAGGCTTTTAAATATATAAAGAACAAATATATGAAAAAACCCATAATAAAGGGAAGTACAGAACTAGTGGGATCACTTAATGGCAACGGTTTGAAAAACGTAATCAGAGGTAACAAAGCCACAGCAGAGAACATTTCCATATCTACCTCATTCTCTGAAGAGGAAATGGAAATCAAAACACATCAAGCATGATATCAAGTGAAGAAATTGGAGCTGGATGGCTTTCACTTGCGAGTTCTGAAGGAACTCAAACATGAAAACTGCAGAACTGCTGGCAAAGGTCTGTGCAGCTGTCATTATGAAGAGGTACTGTGCTTAATGAAAAGCTCATCTGCCAGCATCAGTCCCTTCTACAAAAACAACTTGAGGGGACTCTCAGAGCTACAGAACAGGCAGCACGACTTCCCTCTCTGGAAGAACCTACAATGAAGAGTAACATCACCGGCTCTGGTAAGGTCACACAGGTGGATAAACTCTGCTGCAAACATGGCTCCTACAAATAAGTGCTGTCTCACCAATGCGACCTGCACCTATGAGAGTGTTAGTAAGAATACAGATAAAAGGGATCCCATAGTAACAGTGTATCCAGCTTTTCAAAAAGCTTCACCAAAGGCTATTAAGGAAACTACATTGCCATAAGTGATCCCTTGCAAAATCATCTGTCAGGAAAAGAAATCTTTGCTTGCTAATTTTGTTGAATGTGCTTTCATTCAGCTATCTGCAATGAATCAAGAAAGATGTCTGCAGTTTGCACAGAGGGCAGAAGAACGGACAGAAGAAAACTGTAGAACAACAGGGATTATCAGGGACTGAGACTGTGGGAAAGCATCTCTGAATGTTAAAACAGACAGTGAAACTCTCCGTGGAACAGAAATTTAGGAATGCTTCTATGATTGCAAGTTTGACGTTCCCTTCTCTACAACATCCTTCTGAAAGACAAGAAGATGTGAACTGCTTCTGGCCAAGACAGCTGATGCACTCTGTTCTCCTACTTTAGAAGTGCCAACACATAACTTGGCAGCTCCTTCTCCTACTGTTTTTAAGAAAATGTTCCTGAATTTCAGGTAGAATTCAATACTTCTAGCATCCTTTAAGCAAACTCTTGACTAGAAACTCAAAGCCATTAAAATCTGCACCAAAAATGAATATTCTCCATCATAAAGATACACATTGAGTGTAGTTATGCAAGTGTGTTCAAGTAATAATTTGGCATTTCTTTCTTCAGATTTGATACTCCTCAAAAATGTGCAGGTGAACATCTAGCTCCCTCACCCAGTAATTAAATGGAAATAATTTACCTCAGCCAAGCAATAAACAAGTCAATAATTCCAGAAAATATTTTCACCAGTGACCAGCCAAGATCATACACTACTTCTTCCTCACAAAAAGCTACAAAATAACATTTTCAATTTGACCAAGAAGTATAACCTCACTTACCTCATTTCAGAATCCCAATCATTAACATGAGTTATATTTTTTCTATAATTTTCACCAAAAGTTCTTACCAGTTTGCTAAATTTTAACCTCTACTATACTGGTACCTGAATTAAACTTCACATTTTCATAGGATCTGATGCTCAAGTGGAAGACTCTACTACTCCCAACTCCTCTAAACATAATAAGACATTAAAATGCTAATATAGAAGTCTTTCTTTGAAAGATGCACACAAGCAGAGGAACCACGTGAGGTTATTATTCATCTGAAACAGGTAGACCAGACAGAAAATTTGCTTAATCATCCAATCAATGGACTCAGTTACATGCAGCGAATTATTCCATATAGACAAGAAAAGCACTGTCTTATAAAATAGCCTCACGTCCATACAAAGAAGACTGGCTGTGAGGCACTGGCACAGCTGCTCAGAGGAGCTGTGGTGCCCCATCCCTGAAGGTGTTCGAGGCCAGGCTGGGAGGGACCCTGGGCAGCCTCAGCTGGTGGTGGCAGTCCTGCTCATTGCAGGGCACTGGAAGTCATGATCTTTAAGGTCCTTTCCAACCCAAGTCAGTCTAGGATTCTATGATTCTTTTACTGCACGTTAACTGAAAGCCTTCAAAAATTGTATTAAAAAGTGAATGATGCAAAACTTTAAGGTGCTAAATGATATAAAATATGCTTGACTACAGTCTTAAAATGTGCACGGTCACAGATCAAAATTCATTTTCAAAACAAGCAGTGCTTCAAGTGTCAAATTCCTTTATAAATAAATTTTTGCTTTGCTTATCAAGTGGTTAACCAAAATGCCGAGTCTGGCAGGTTGTTTTTGTTATAAATAGAAAGAAATTATGGTTTTGGTACAATCCTGTTAATGAATGAGCAGATGAAGTCCATTTTCCCTAAATACAACAGAAATAAAATGGCACAAGACATTTTCTTGCCTCATATCTCTTTCAATCAACTCCCAAACTCAAGCCTCAGTTTTAACACATTTCCCAGGGCTGGTTCCCTCGACTGGTGAGGTCTCTTTGCTGCCATCTTTCTCAGCACTGGGAGTCTTTTCATACTTTACAAAACAGTTGATGGAATTGCTCCATAGCTTTTGAATTTTTTTATGGTGATGTGTTTAGGCTGTTCTTATGTTTATGTTTTATTAAGTGTTTTTAGCTGTTTTTATTAAGTATGTTTTTCCAAATGTGACTGTTTCTTGTGATCAAAAGAGTATCAAAAGAGATATTGTGTGCATATTCCTCAGTTATCATACACCACAAAATTAAAGCCCTTCCAACTTGTATTAAAATAATTCCAACTTTGATGGACAAAATTATGTACCTCTGAATCTTACCATGCTCTTTAACAAACTCTGCACTGGAAAGCAAAAATCAGTGAGCAGGAGGCTTGTTAATTTAGGCAGCTAGTACCTGAAATGTGTTTTTCCTGCTTTTTGGCTTCCTTCCCTCCACTGCGCAGTTACATCAGCTGGCTCAAGATGCCCTCCAAAAATATGCTGCCATAGGTAAAGGCCTACATAAAAGATGAAGATATGATGCAAATTCGAATGCATATTTCTACATTACCAGCAAGAAAAAAAGAAGGAAAAAAATAATGTAGTTTTAGAAAATAAAAAAGAGTAAGTACCTACTCAGAAAAGAAATACGAAATTTTCTATGGACACTGCACCCCCAAATTCTCTAAGACTTGCAATTAATTAATATAACTTTTTTACACATCAGACATTTGAAAAGATTCTTCTGCTTACTAAATGAAAATATACCACATTAGCACTTCTGTTAACATCTCTTTCTGGCACCCCTAACACTTAAAAAACACGTATTAATCAGTACTCCAAGCACAAGCATATTTCTCTTAAGCTTCTGTGAAATACCCAAATTTTATGACAGAATGTATCACCATGTAATACACTGTGTGTCCTGTGCTAAGTAAAAGTTTTAACTAAAGCTGGAAACTCTACATTTCTAAAGAAACTTTAAAAATAACAGAGGGCTACAAAATGATCCAAGGGATGGCACACGTCCTATAGGGACAGGCTGAGAGAGCTGGGGCTGTTCAGCCTGAATAAGAGAAGCCTTTGAGGTGACCTGATAGCAGCTTTTCAGTATCTAAAGGGGAGCTATAGGAAAGAAGGGGACATACTCTTCAGTAGCGTCTGTGGTAACAGGACAATGGGAAATGGTTTCAAACTTAAAGAGGGGAGATTTAGGTTGGATATAAGGAAAAAGTATTTTACAGTGAGGGTGGTGAGGCATTGGAATGGGCTGTCCAGGGAGATGGTAGATGCCTCTTCCCTAGAGACATTCAAGGTCAGGCTGGATAGGGTTCTGAGCAACCTGATCTAGCTGTGGGTGTTCACTGCAGGGAAGTTGGTCTAGATTGCCTTCAAAGGTCCCTTCCAATTCTGAGGATTCTATAAGAAAAATGAAATGCCTTCAACAGTAGCCGAAGTCCAATTACAGAGAGGCAACTCAATGTTGCCTCTGAACGTTCTTCACCAGAACAATTTCCCAATTCATCAATGGTAGCAGCAGTACACAAAATGGTCTGTTTCTCACTGCACAATACTTTGGTTCATTAAGGGTAAACATGACAAAAATCCAGTTTTAATCAAATAAGACACCTATCTTCTGTTGCACTATAAGTTTTGTGGGATTCACAGTGTGATTCTGTTTCTTGGTCATTTGTGCAGCTCTTCTTTGACAGATGTGAAAAGCAACCCTGAATAGAACTGATACAAGTAACTAGTTTTATATTGGTATTAATATAACACTGAATAACTACCACTTCCTTAACGCTTCTCATTTACAGATATACACACATTTCAATATTTCAATCATATGTACAATATTTGTACATATATAACATTCATTTATTGAACAGCAGAGGAAAGTGTTCTACCAGAGAAGTTGTGATGAATAATTTTTCATTATATCTGCTCACCAATCGCTGCTTTTCCCCAGATCTGTACTCTGAGCCTGGTTTGTTCTAGCTGAGACCTTGCATTTTGTACCAGCTTAAGAATATTTTCGTATCTCTGCTGAGCCGCAACCTGTTCACTTCTCTCATCAGCTTCCCACGGGTTCCACTCTTCATTTCCCAAAGGAACGTGATCGATACCTGGGATACCCAAACACACAACTTACTCAAAACCCCCTCCTTAGACGTTTACGAAGCGTACCCGTTTCGCGGTCGGTACCCCAAGCCCGCATCTCGTCACGCCCCGCCCCGGCCACAACGGCGGCGGGAAGATGGCGGCCGCCAGCGCGGGCGGGCGGGCAGCGGTGGGGTGTGGGCACGGGGGGCTCCTCGGCCCCGCTCTCCCCTCAGGGACCACCCTCGCGCCCCTGCTCGTCATCCCGCAACGGGGACGCTGCGGGGCGGGCACTGCCGCTCGCCCGCGACGAGGCCTCTCCGGCGCGGGCCGCCTTTCCCCGGCGCGGTCTGCCGCCGCTCTCACCTCGCGGGCCGCGGCGGTCCCTGTGCGGCGGGCGGGAGGCGGCCGGGCGGCGGGGTCGGAGAAAGACGGTGTAGGCCGCGTACAGGGAGAAGAGGCCGTAAGCGACGAGCAGGGCGGAACAGAACCGCTTGCGAGCGCCCCGCATGCCGCCCGGCGGGAAGAGCGCCGTGAGGCGGCGGCGGGAGGGGCTGCAGCCGCGGCCCGGCGCTGCGCTCGTCCCCGCGTACCGGGGTTAATGGCGGCGCTGGGCGCGACAAAGGGCAGCCGTGAGGGTTTTATCTCATAGAAAGCTGTAGGCTGACTCAGTTGAATCGTTTTACATTGGAAGTTGAGCCATCAGTCTTTACTAAAGCTAGATGTTACAATTCCTGGGAAGCAACCGGCAGCCTGTTTTCTAATGCCATGACCCTAACAACAGTTGAAGTCCAGTGACCTTCATCCACCCTGAGCACAGAGAGGGTTTGCAACAGTACGGATCGTAACATGACACACAACCTCGCAACCTGTTCTGGCTCTTTTTGATTGATTCCTTTTAGAAATATATATATAACAATAATTAAAATAAAATAAAATAAAAATACCCTTTCGAGCACTAAAATTTGCTCTTACACAGACTGAAAATTTTTAGAAGAGGTCTCTGCTTGCTCCAAATCAAATGGTACCTGGTTGCCTTAGCAGGCTTTGGGAGATGCCAAATCTCAGATCTAACTTAGTGATCTACATATGTTCTCAGAACTGGAAACGTATCCTGGTGGCCAACAGTGATAGCGGTGATACCTTTATTCTGGGTAACCTTTCTGGTGGTCTACATTAGCTTGACTTATCATTTTTTTCCAGCCCAGTTCCTAATCCTGAATGTAGCTGTGGTTTTTATCCCAGCCAATTCAAACCTTCCTAATACACTTATCAGTGCTAACAGAACTCTGTTGCAGAAGTGAAGTTCCTTTTGGGAGTCATGGCCACTTCATCTTGGCTACAGTGATTTATAGTTTAATGGGAGAAGTGTGCCAGATAAAAGCTTTCAGAATGATGACTGGGTTTTATTCTTGGTTTTTTGGCTTATTGCTGTGTGAATGCACAGTGAAGTGCTATAGTCTCAAACTTTGAAAAGAACGGAGATGTGATATCTATAGAGATTGATATCATACCATTTTCAGCTCTAACTGTAGCAAGTTTTTTAGACTGTATCGGTAACTATGTTCACATACTGAGCTGCAAAAAAAATATAGGAAATCGACTTGCAAAGAGTTTACTATTTAATTTAAAACAATGCAGTAATATAAACTGTAAAAAGTAATTAGAACATTCTCTCTTCTTCCCACACAGATTCAGCTAACTTCCTATGCAGGGGAGAGGCTTTAAAAAAAAGTCAAGAAGGACTAAATCTAAGAAACAAGTGTGACTTAAAAACATATGTAATATTAAGAATACATGAAGAGAGGGATATAATTAACAGAATGTCTAATAAGTAAGGATCTTAGAGTAGGAGCTTTGTCTAGGGACTATATGGTAAGACTAACAGGAAGGTAAAACTGGAAAAAGTCATCTTAACCATGGGGATTCCTCAAAATCATGAGAAACCATGCAGTAAATACCAAAGTCAGGGAATGCCTGTACTTCCTACGCAGTGTCTGTGGCAGCCTACAAAGGCCTACTAACTTTCTACTACTCTGTAACAAACTAGATGTGTTGTTGAAGACCTAAAGCCCACCAAATGTCGAGAAAAGAGGAGTAGAGCACCACTAACATCCTAGACCTTTGCACAAAGCAAATATTTGAATCTACTAGGTGATGCTAAGAAGTAGGCTCACCTCTTCTACACAGCAGGACGTAAGGCATGAGACATGGAAGAATCCTAACCTAACAACAACAAAAAAAATTGCGTTTTTAGAAGAAATGTAAAGTGCATTCAATAAATGCTCTTTCTATTCAAGAATTCATTTCAACAAGTCAAAGTTAGCCTGGAGTTTTAAAATTATTATTATGAATGTGGCTGGAAGTCAAAACATTCTGGTAAGCAGCTGTAGAAGCAAGCTTTTTGTTTCTGTGAAAAATATATTTTTTTCTATGTGGAAAAAAATAAAAGATTCTTTCTGCTATTTGCTTTTTAATGCTCATGACTCCTACAATAAATTATTCTCTAGTCTCCTTTATACCCTCCACCCTTGATATCAATGAGAAGTTGTAGAAAACTGTGTTGGTCAATATGTAATGTAGACAGAACTGAGCAAGGTTCTGAGAATGACAGAAAGGGTCCAACTGACTTCATCAGAACAGAGAATCAGAATGGCTTGGGTTGGAAGGGACCCCAAGGATCAACAAGTCCTTCCCCCTGCCACCAGCAGGACCACCAACCTCCAGATCTGGTACTAGACCAGGCTGCCCAGGGCCCCATCCCAACTGCTCTTGAACACCTCCAGGGACAGAGCATCCACAACCTCTCTGTGCAGCCTGTGCCAGCACCTCATCACTCTCTCTGTGAAGATATCCAAACTAAACCTTCCCTCTTTGAGCTTGAAACCTTTCTCCCTTGTTCTATCACTATCTACCCGAGTAATATGAAATGAGTAATATGGAACAAATACATTTGTTGTCACTAACTTTCTACAAAGCTTTTCTGGGTATAATTACTGCTCTATTAGTCTTGTTTTCATCAATTAAGAAGCCTGTAGGTGTCTTAGTGCCATCTGCAGAATGTAGGAGGCAGCTGCTATTGCAAGTTCTTTTCTGCAAAAAATCAAATCTGCTAAGCTGCTTTGTACAGGTCTGAAAGGAAGGGAAAAGTCTGCAGGAGGCAATTAAAGAAACATAGATGGAAAGAGGCCTTCATTCTAGCTGGAGATCACAGCACCTGTTCCGAGGCTTTTCACAGATTCTCCTCTGGACAGAACTCTTGTGGAGAGAGAATTGAGAGGCCCTGTTGCTCATTAATGGAAACAGTGCTGTCTGTGCTTCATGTGAGAGCACCCTAATATCATCCTTCAGGCAGAAGCAGATTGGGGTCTTTTTTACCTGGCTGAACTTTTCCTTTGATGGGGTGATTCCATCTGGCAGAGAGGTGGTGGTAAGTAACTGTCGATAATGGTGAGGAATTAATGGCAGTGACTTTTTTTTTTTTAATTACAGCTAGGTCAATAGGAGGGAGTCCATCTGTGGCCTTGAAGCCTCTTAGTTAAAATGAGAGCAGCTCCCTCTTGAGAAACTGATGTGCTGCAGGTACGTCAAAAGAGGTTGGGTTTTTTTTTCTTCATTCTAATAAAAAGCCGAATCTGTCAATCTACATTTCTCTCAGGTACAAAACATAAATAACTGGAGATGTTTTTAGGTATTATCTGGTTTGTCCTCCTGCATTTCATGCACTATTTGGAACATCTCCAGGCTGTTGTCTGTATGGAATATCAAAGTACAAATCCGTCTGAAGCATTGCCTATCAGTAACACAAAGAAAGAGCTGATGGCTGTTGCTTCCAAGTCTTACATATTTTCAACGGCCACATCAGGACCAGGGTAGACCTTTCCAACAATACCGATGGGTCTGGCAATGGAAGCCTGCTTTCAAGTGCGGTCTGCCTTGTTCTGCAACTCTTGCACTGCCATAGTTTTGATATACGTAACAAAAACAAGCAGTAAAGTCAATTTCCTGCTCCTTTAAAATTTATTTCATGTTTGCAATGAGATTTATTCCCAATTTGCTGTCACAACAATCCAAATAAAGTCTTCCAAAAAACATGGTTTGTACAGTCTTTTGCTATTTTAAGTACAAATCTAAGACATAAATATTTTGAAAATATTTATAAAAGTATCACTAACACATTTTCCACTTGCATTAATCTCTACATTTTTTCAATAGTATAAATTACTGCTTTGTGGATAGAAGGGATTATAAACCTCATAATCTTGTTTTAATAACATCAAGAAACATATTTGGATATCACATCCATCTAACAGATTTCTAGTGAAGAATTTATTCTTGCAGAAAGAAGTGTAGAAGATTATATACTCACAGGAATTTTGACCACATTTTAAAATAAAACCGTAGGGGCATCTCAAACTGTGGAGTCATGCTGATTTTTTCCATCACATCATCTATATAGGAATGAAGGAATCATGTAAAGTCTTCAGTGTTAATTGAGGGAGTTGTGGTGCCATTTAAAATTCACTTGAAACTGCAGTTTCTTTGAAAATGATTTTTGGAGAGCAAGCATTGTAATCTTTCATGAAGGAATTCTAGTGCTTTGCTTAGTGCTTACCTCTGGCGCACTAACAGTTGTGCTTTTGGCATTTGATTTGAGTATATCCTGTGGTATTCATGTATGTGCCTCAATTACATGATAGTTACATGGGTGATAAGGGTAAGAAGACAGAGTGCTTGGCAAAGGGCGGCAGTGTGTGTGCTGTCTGAACTCTTCAGCTGAGCTGCAGTCTACTCAGGAGACCACAGGTACGTGTGAAGGCTGTTCTAGCCCAAAGGATTACAGGATGGGTGTCACAGATCTGTAGTAGGCTTCTTTCAGTTTAGCTTTGGAAACTTCAGTTAGCTCTGAATTGAGAAAAAAATCTGTCAAATTTTGTGAAACTGCATTCATGTCATGTCTTGTTTTGTGGATTTGAGGGATCTAATCTTTCTTTGTCCGGTGACTTCAGTACTAAAGAATTTAGCTTAAGGATTTTTTTGTTTTGTTTTGTTTTTTAATTTTCTTTTAATATAAATATTTGAAGCAATGAATTGCTTACAAGCTGGAGGAGAGTTCAAATGTTAAGCAGTGGAGTCAAGATTTTGGGCTTCAGGAGAGCAGACCTCTTTTCTGAAGGATAAAAAAGCCAGCTGGATGACCGGGCCCAGAAAGCAATAGTGAATGGGATTAAATCTAGCTGGTGACAAGTCACTGATAATGTTCCTCAGGGGTTGGTATTGGGGCTGTCCCTGTTTAATATCTTTATTGACAATCTGGACAAGGGGAATCAGTGTACCTTCAGTAAGCATGCAGATGACATCAAGCTGGGAGGAAGTGTCCATCTGCTTAAAGGCTAGGAAGGTCCTACAGAGGGCTCTGGACAGGCAAGATTGATGGGCTGAGGCCAACTGTATGAATTTTAACAAGACCAGGTGCTGAGTCCTGCACTCGGGTCACAAAAACCCTACACATTGTGACAGACTTAAAGCAGAGTGGTTGGAAAGTTGCATGGAGA